ATTTCTAGGTAAGAATCAGAACTTATTGTTCAATATTCAGTCCATTTAATGTTTAGGATTTGTAATCCTTTTCCAATTTGCTTATTCCTTTTCCACATTACCCCACATTACCTCATATCTGTCATTTTTATAGTTGGTGGTCCATATTTAGGTGATTTATCAGAGAAAATGGGGTTTAAAAATGTAAAGATCTTAACTTTTTTAGCTTTTTTTTGGAGAATGTGGGTCTTTTTTGGAGTATGTGGTCGATGTCAGGAGGAAATAATATGTGTCGGGTTTGGATTTGACTACAAATCAGATTTCACTTAATAATCTGATTGTTGTTATAACTAATTGTTGTTATAATCTGAAAGTGTGATGTAGCTTAATATAGTTTATTAATCTATATTTGAATTCTAAAAGTGTTGATTAAATAATTTAGGTTGGGGACCATGTCAGATCCTTTTAGGACAGTGGATATCCATATGCACTATGGTGGGCGGTTTATACATCATCCCAATATTAGGTATACAAGTGATTTAGTGAGAGTGTTTCACAATTGCGACCCTGATGAGTTATCAACATTTTCATTATTCAACCTGTACTCCAAAATTGAAAAAGAAGCGGCATGTGCAAAATTTTGGTATTCCATTCCAGACCATGATGTGGATGTAGGTGTTATCCCAATAAATGATGACGTGGACATAGAATTGTTGACTACCTGTTATGAAGGGCTTCCTTATATGCATATATATGTAGAGTCAGGTCAGAGGCCTCTCAAAATTATCTCACCAGATGGTAAGCTCTTATTCGAAAGAGTGACGAATGATGGTCCACTTGCTTTACCGTACAATGAAGGTTCTTCAGAGATAAATTCAGATCTGACTAGAAAAGGTGCTGGAGCTTCACAAAATCCTGTTGATCTGACTGGTTTTGAACCATATATTGGTGATACAAGAGGGCAAGAAAATAATTTAGATGGCCCAACTGCTGTAGAAACTAATGATGGCACACAAAATCCCTTCGAACCAACTAAGAAAAACAGAAGAAAGGGTGGTAAAACTCCATCGAGGAAGAGACAAACTGTGGTGCAACCTGTGAAGAGAGCAGCTAGAAAAACTGTCAGAAAATTATTTCAGCAAACAACCAGAATAGATGCTGTCGACAGCCAGCAAGAGGTTTCTTCAGTGAACCAAAGTAAAGAAGAATGTGAAAATCAATGTAACTTTGACAGAACCTCTGTTCAGACAAATCAAGTCAACAATGAACAATATTGTGACTTTGACAGAACCTCTGTTGAGAAGAATCAAGTCAACAATGAACAGCAGCACCACAGTGATGGAAATGAAGAACCTGATCCGTCTTGGTTGAGAGAGGGCCTAGAATTTGCAGAAGATGAGGACATCTTTGCAACTGCTGGTTCAACTGTACCTCAAACAAATCAGCAAATTGGTGACTTGAATGAGCAGCAGCAACAACATCAGCAACCACAAGGTGAGGAGTCCACAGCACAGCATCAACAAACTGAAGACTTGAATAAGCAGCAGCAACAACATGAGGAAGCACAAGGTGAGGAGTCCACAGCACAGCATCAGCATGGAGGAGACCAACCTATTGGCCCTGACAGTGAGGAATGGAATGAGCCTGTGACTGCAGATGAAGACTTCCTATATTCTGGTGATGAAAATGGGCCTGACTACTCATATTTCAATGCTTCAGTGGAGTTTAACAAGCCAAATTTTGAATTAAAGGTTGGGAAGAAATTCACTCATTTTACAAAATTTAGAGAAGCACTTGTGGAATGGAACATTAGAGAGGGATACAAAGTTTTATATATCAACAATGACAGTTGGAGGATAACTACCAAATGTGCAAAATGATGTTCTTGGAGGATTCATGCAAGCAGAGTTAATAGGACTGACACTTTTCAGATCAAAACACTAAAGGGAGAGCACCATTGCGGCAGAGAGTACACTAACAAGCATGCAACCTCAACTTATCTGAGCAGAAAGTTTCAAGAGAAGGTTCGAGATGACCCTAATTGCAGCTTGGATGGCATTATTAATGATGCCAGAAGAAGATTCATGGTTAATATAAGTAGCAAAAAAGCATACAGGACTAAGAGGAAGGCCAGGGAGACAATCAAAGGTTGTGATATGGAGCAATATGAACGGCTGTGGGATTATGCTGCCACGGTTAGACAGTCAAATCCAGACAGTCATATCGCTATACAAATAGACAGGAGGTCTATTGAGGACAGGGCAACATTTCAAAGGCTTTTCTATGGCTTGGGTGCTCTTAAAAAGGGCTTTCTTGCAGGTTGTAGACCAATCATTGGCCTAGATGGTTGCTTTTTGAAGGGGCCCTTTGGAGGTCAACTGTTAGCAGCACTTGGAAGGGATGGGAATGACAATATGTTTCCCATAGCCATTGCCATTGTTGAAGCAGAAAACTATAATAGTTGGACTTGGTTTTTGAAGGAACTGATTACTCATATTGGAAGGGGCAATGTAGTGCCTTATACCTTCATTTCTGACAGGCAAAAAGGACTAGTACATGCTATAGAGGAGCTATTTCCTGGTGCAGAACACAGATTTTGCCTTAAGCATCTGTTTGAGAATTTTAAGGCAAAGTTCAAAGACAGTGAACTGAGAGAATTGTTTTGGGCTACTGCATCAGCAACTAATGGTGATGATTTCAAGAGAGCATTGAATGCTTTGGAGATAGCTCAGCCACAAAATGGAGAGAACCTTACTGCTGCTGGTTGGTTAAAAAGGCTGCCATATCATTTGTGGTCTAGAGCACATTATGGAATGGCTGCTAAGACTGATATTTCAGTCAACAATCTGAATGAGAGTTTCAACAACTACATTTTAAAAGCAAGAGACGAGCCAATTGTGACTCTTCTTGAATTTTTCAGAAGAAAGTTAATGCAACGATTGACATTGAAGAGGCAAGGCATGGAGAAATATGGAGGCAGATTGTGTCCAAACATTGTTGAGAAGTTAGCTAAAAGTGTAGAGAAGAGCAGACATTGTATTGCTGTATTTGATGGTATTGAATCATTTGAGGTTGATGGTTTCAACAGAACCTCCGTTGTGAACTTGCAACGTAGAAGCTGTTCATGTGGTGCATTCCAGTTGACTGGAATTCCATGTGTGCATGCTATTTCTGCCATTCAAAGCATGCGGATGAAGGTTGAAAACTATGTCGATGAGTGCTATAGTAAAGAGGCATACTTGAGGGCATATGCTTATAGCATTGGAGCTGTTCCATCCAAAGAACACTGGATTGATAGTGGAATGCAGCTGTTAAATCCACCATTTGTGAAGAAACAACCTGGGAGACCTAAAAAACTTAGGAGAAGAGGTCCGGATGAACCGAGAGATCCACAAAGAGCTTCCAAAAAGGGGGGGCCAGTATACTGTAAGAGATGTTTAAAAGCTGGCCATAATAGGAGAACTTGTAAGGAACCTCCTCATCCCAAATCCAAGTTGTACAAGGTACATTTAAGTATTTGAATTTTTCTTGCACTATGTACTCTTGATAATTATTCCAGCAGTAAATTTTTGACTCTGGTTGCAGGCTCCAAGCAATACCCAACGAGGGGCAAGAACAGCTTCCACTTCAGCCCCAACCAGAGAAGTACCAGTGCATCAAGCATCTCAACAAAGCAGCACTGCTGCAGTTACTGATAACAACCTTAGTTCTCGATCCAAAAGATTTAAGAAAAATTAGAATCAGGAATGTTATTTTTAGGACTTGTGTCCATGTAAACAAGTTGTAATGGTATATATGCTATCTTTAGAGCAGACATTGTATAATGGATTAACATATTTTGTAAGTGATGCTCTTTTTTGTAATGACATTATTGGCATTATTGCTCTTTTTTGTAATGCCATATATTGGATTGTGGTTATCATATTATGACTATCCAAATTACAGTTGGTTCATGAGTAAACAGGTTGTATGGTTATTATCTTTCTTTCAGACAAGAATACAAATCATGACAAAATTTGGAATTTTTTCATAAACTAAAATTATTACATTATTTGGTACATCATTATACTGCCACTAACCAAATTACTATTTTCTATAAGCAGCAATAACTAGAGATAAACAACAAATAATAAGAGACAAAATCATTATCACTTTCAACAACCCCACAGTGCCTTCAACCGTGCTCAACTTTGCATGTAGCCCCAACAAAATGTCACCATTGTTCACAGCCAGCACACCTTCATTACTGTTCACTCTTGGAGAGAATCCAGAACTTTCGTCTAATCTTGTTTCTGGACTTTTACTAGTACATTCATTGCCCATTCCATCCCTTCTTAGAGGATTGCACCATGCCCAAAAGGAGCAGGATTGATCTTCACAAATGTAATACAACCTACCTTTTGAGGGTTTGTTGGACTCCACGATCTTGATTTTTGCTCTTTTCTTGCAGAAGCACCGAGACCATTCATACCTTAGATCTGTCAAACCTCCTCCAAAATTTGCTGAAGTGGACATGACGACTTCGATATATTCAGAAGTAGATCTTCTCCCTTTTTCCTTTCACTCTTTGATAGCTTCAAATCTATTCTCCCCTAATATGTAGTGCCTTCTATATAGTAATTGAAGGGTAGTTTGAGAATGAAACTCACGATCTTTTCAAAAGATCCTCGCAGACCCATCATCAGTAGTTCGCTCAGCCGGTTATAGGTCTATTTCCACTTTAGTTATGAAGTTTAGGACGTTTATGTGTATGTTTTTAAACGATAGGGGGTTCCGTGTCTTTTCGTGAAACCATAGGGGGGTTCCGTGTATTTTACACAAAAACAAGATGACTGGTGGTATATAATACTTTTGGTGACGTTGTTCTTTAATGTAGGGGACAACAATTCGAATATTTTGTTCTTTTATTTCGTATTTTATAATGTTGGAAATGAGAATGTCTTCAATTTTAGAGATTATACTAGATTTTAAACAAGATGTCACTGGAATACATACAGATGCTCCCAGCATTCTTGGGATTCTGATGAGCATTTTTTTGATCCACCTCAACTTATATTCTATATGTCTTACCTAATCAGTGAAAATGAGGGCATAAATTGAATACTCAAAATTTTGGGGAGCAGAAATCCCACTTCCAATTCGATTTTAGGGGGAAAATAAAAGAAAAGAAAAAATCCCACCTATACCGTTCGCCCCTACCGGGGCACCCTTTGCTTTCCCTGATGTTCCCAAAACGCCTTCCGACAATCAAACAAATCCAAACGGCGAATTCCGAAGCACACCACCTTTGACCCGTAGTCCAAGTCTTCCCTCTGTGGAATATCCCATAAATTTTGTTTAAACTGCCATGAAATCATCTGAAAAGTATGCTGTGACGTATGCTTACACCTTCCAGACGTCATCAGACGACGACGAGGACATGACGGAGACCGTTACAGACATGGCAGCATCAGTGAGGGCGGTGGAGGAACTCCTGAATTACAAGTTTAAGAACAAGATGCTTCTAGAAGAAGCTCTGACTCATTCTTCTTACACTGATTCGGCATCTTACCAGCGGCTTGAGTTCATCGGCGATGCCGCTCTTGGCTTAGCCGTCTCTAACTACGTGTTCCTGGCTTACCCGGACCTTGATCCGGGCCAGCTCTCTCTTCTTCGGGCTGCCAATATTAGCACCGAGAAGTTAGCTCGTGTTGCCGTCAGACATGGCCTTCATAAATATGTTCGTCACAATGCCGCTGCTCTTCACGATAAAGTAAAAAGTTTTTCTTTGCCTTTTATTTTCTCTCTCTCTTTTTTTTTTTAAGTATGGAATTAAGGTACCATGGTTAATGCATGAAGTATAGCTATTGATGCACACTTTTGCTTGCTTTTAAGTTGTTCAGTATGTGTATGGATTCTCGCAGATAGTTTGATTAATTGAAAAATACTAGCAGTACTACTTTATTTGATCGTTGCGGCTATATGATTGTACCTTCTTAGAATTGATGGAAATCATACCACCATGAATGCATGGCGTGTATGCATGTTTTTTTGTTTTTTTGCTATAATAGGTTACATATGGGATGAACCTATCAGTTTGTGTGATTAATTGGAAAAGATAAAAGGTAGCAGCCTTTCTCTAGCAATTTTTTTCTTGAATGCTGGTACCTTCGATAGCTACAAGTGTTTGTGCAAGTCCAATAAACATTTAGAATTATAGTTTGGTCGGCTTGCGATTTTTGCATGATTATTGCTGTTAATATGGATTCAGTTATGGTTGTGATTGTTTAGGTGAGAGATTTTGCAACAGCGGTAGGGCAGGAGGATGAAACAGAGGTACATGGAGGGGCAATTAAGGCTCCAAAGGTTCTTGCTGACATAGTGGAGTCAGTGGCTGCAGCTGTATATGTAGATTGCGGGTTTGATCTGCAAGCGTTGTGGGTGGTAAGCACTTTTTCTATTTTCTTTTTCCCTCTATTATTTGTGCCTTCCACCCCTTTGATTAAACATGATAATGTTAGACCATTCTTATGAGTTGAAGTATGAGATGTGTTAAAAGATATTTTCCTGCCCTGCTTTGTTGGATGTCTGTTCCAATATTAGGACAATTTAATATCAGCAAATTACATGAAAGAAACGGGGTTTCCAAAACTAAAGAGTTTTTAATTCCATAGTTTGCCAAACAAAAAGAATCCTAGCAACACTGCTAATCATGAATTGTGAATTATGAATTATTGTGTGAATGTATTAGGAAAACTCTTCCTCCATGCTTCCACTAAGGTTTTGACAATTCAAAGTAGATGGTGTTGCAATAGGCCTTATTATTGTCTTAGATTCTTGAACATATGGGAAGCTATTGTTCATTACAAAGTGTTTTGGGTCATCAATGTAAATTTCTCAAGGTTTGTACCTTTGTTGGGTTCAGATATTTAGGGGCTTATTGGAGCCAATTGTCACACTTGATGTACTACAACATCAGCCTCAACCAGTAACATTGCTATTCGAATTGTGCCAGAAAGATGGAAAGCATGTCGATATAAGACATTGGAGAAAAGGGGAAAAAAACATTGCAAGTGTTTATGTTGATGGGCAATTTGTTGCCTCAGCATGTTCTGATCAGAAAGAAAACGCAAAGCTTCATGCAGCTAAGGCTGCTTTGCAGAAATTATCTTACAAAACTAGTGAAAAGATTGGTAGAGACATTATAGGTGAAGTCAATGGATCTACCAAGATTGAAAGTGCAAAACAAAAACTTCATGAGCTCTGTGGAAGGAAAAGATGGCCAAAACCAAGCTACAGGTACTCCTTATTCAGTTTCATGAGTTATACTTAGGCATTTAGCTCGATTTTAGTTCCATGCCATGTACTTCAAATTAGAAGTCAGTATGTTTTTCCTTTCTTCTAAATTTAGATTCCTGAATATTTGGTAATATTTACAGAATTGAAAAGGAGATAGGTCCAGCTCATGATAGGCGATTTATATGCTCTGTTCAAATTGAGATTGCTGAGGCTGTGCTTTTTGTGATGGGAGATGAAAAATCAAGAGTGAAGAACGCAGAGAACTCTGCAGCTTCTCTGATGCTACTAGGTCTGCAAGACTCTTGAGTACTAATGATGACCTAGGTGTAGAATCATGGAAAATTGTAACCTGCTGTGTTGGTAGACATTGTAGAAGCTGGAAAAGCAGAACGATTTTCTTCATTAGTTCTGTATTATTAGTTCAATAAATATTGCATTTTCTTTTACTTTTGAATCGATAAATGATCATTGCTATGGATTAAGGTTCTTGTTGTACCATGAAAACTGGCATTTTCAACAGGGTCGATGACTTCCTAACAGGACAATCTTCAAAGACATTGCATCTTACATGTTGGCAAATGAAGGCTGGTAGTCCATGGCTCACTCAGCTGCAACTATTGCGCTTGTGGCTCTCCCAGAGGGTCGCCCCTACCTTTAAGCAGAATCATACAGTAGCTTAGTTTGCTTCCCTTTGTTGCATCTTTGCTCGATTTGGTGGGAACTTCTTCCAATAGAGGAAACCTTCCTCACTTTTAGATCCAGCACCTTAACAGCAGAATCAAACTGGACACGAGTTTTGAAGTGGTAAGTTGTTTGTTGATCACTCCCTTTTTTTCACGGAAGCAGTTTCCCGTGAGGCCACTATAAGTGAAGATGCAGCAGGTGTGTCATGGTCGAATAGGCAAGCTGGTGGTGTGATGTTTTTCTGGAAAATGTGCACTGGTCTAACATATTTGAGAAGATCTCCATCATTTTGCTTTACATATGGCTGACCAACAGCACTACCAGTTTCCAGAGCTTAGCGAAACATACCGTCATTGTCCTCGTGTCAATCCTGACAGGTATGTTAGCAGTGCAGATGTCAAAGCAAATTGCAATATCACAGCAAAGCCTGTGGCTTCCAGCTTGTTGGGATCTTGTCCTGCTCGCATTCAGTGATTAGAATCAGTTAGTGAAAATCTGGAGCTATCTATTGCTGAAAGAAGATATACTGTTCAATTGGAAAAGAGAAAGAACTCAATAATCTTGCTCAGAGGGATTCCGCCGAGTCGTTTGTTTGTACTAGCGGACGGTCCTCTCTATTTGTAGGATTATGTTGCCTGGACTCGTGTCTTCATACTCTTCCATCAACTAGGCTGCTGCTTTGAATAGGTTGCTGTAATCTTTGCTGCCCTACTGTTGAAATTAGTACGCAAATGAACTCCTCTTTACTGGTAATAACCTAGAGATACGTTGATCCGTGACAGAAAAATGTTGGTAGGAAATGGGGAGGGGGCAAAAATTCTTTTCCAAGTAAACTAGCCTTCTAAGTGCAAGTTTCAGTGCTTCTTGCTGTTTATATTTTCATTTGCCTTAAATGGTGGTGCCAACATTATTATCAGCCCAATATGTAAAGTATGCTTTCCTTGCTTCATAATATTGAGAGCTAGGACCTAATACACGTCAGGAATTTTAACAGTAGATAAAAATTGAGTTAGAAGGAATTAGATGCAAAATATCAAGCAAAGCTAATGAATTACGTTGATCAATCTGGAAAAACGCACAGTAATCCCAAGGGAAAACGGTAAGCCTGCTGATCGATGGAAGTTGAGAAACTGCAAACCAGCCTGCCACTTTTACTGCATCGTTCCTCAACTCATAGCGTCGTGTCTTTATTTATTTTCATTTTTAAATATTTGGCAACTCCAAAAATCCATTTAGAACATGCTATACCCGGAATTTTTGGTCTCTCGGTTACTAAAAAAACCATAAATCAAACAAATTAAAGGGAAGTCATTATCATTATCATTTTTTTTCCTCCTTTTTTTTGGGGGGTGGGGATGTGCAAGTTCCACCTACATTTTGTCCAAATTCAATTCGTCATATAAGCGGTTTGACGATGCTACTATCTATCAGCAAAGTCCATCTCTGATATGCAAAAGTCACACAGCAAAAGATTATGATTGACAAGAAGAGTCAAGTTATGAGATGTTTAAGTTGGAATTTGCAGAAATGATTTAGAATTTTCTTACGAAGTTAATTATCACGTAAGAATCCACCATGATTAGGAGTCATGATATCTATGAGAGACATAACTTGATTCCACCATTCAAGTGCCCCTCTTACCTCTTGTTAATCTCCAAAACCAATAATAATGTGGAGAAGATTCTATGTTCTTTCTCCACTTCTCTTTATTCATTCAGCACCCTGCTTTTTCCTTTTTTAGTTATTGCTACTTGCTAGTAGAGCACTTCCTTTCCCTTTTTGATGCAGAATTTTATTTTCAATTACCCCTTTCCCTTTTTATCATGAGTGGATTATTTGAATCCCACCCATATGTGATTTCTTTTTTTTCTTTTTTTTTTTTTAACAGTCGACAAAAGGGTTAAAACTTGTCAATCCCATTATTATTCGGGGAGAATAAATTTCATGTCATAACAGCCAAGGTTGAATCAAGGATCAATGAGAATATGATGAGATCGCTGATCAAAATGAATATTAGTCCAATGTAAAAGACAACAACGGAATGGTATAGTTTTGTACTTGGGCTTCTTGTTAGAATTTCGCAATCAAGGGGTGGTTGAATAATGCCACCATTTTACGAGTGAGAGCTGATGCCTAAACGCATGGCAACGCAAGCCAGTTTCTCCTACTCGTGTTACTTTACACTTCTTTGAAGATTAGGTAGATAGCCCCAAAATTGATTAAGATCTAATCAGGCAACTTTTGACTCAGCAGCTAGCTTGGAGTTTTTTTTTTTCTACTAGTTATATATATATATATATATATGTGTGTGTGTGCCTTTTTTTTTCCCATTAATTTTTCCTTTGACAACGACCTGAACTTTAATTTCGGGAATTTTCTTTTTTGTATTTTATGCATGCGACGATTGTTCAACTGGTCCCGCAGCCAAAGTTTACCGGTATCGTAATCAAACACAAATTAAAATTGGGAACAAAAGATAAGTTCACCTTTATATTGAGATGATTCTTTCAACTACTCCCGGACCCATCACTCAAGTAAGCCAAGAAAATGCAAACGATTATATACGCATTATCAAATTGATAAGGAAAAAATAATTTGGTCTTCCATCATCAAGGCATAACTTACCAACTTATAGAAGGCACTAAACCGGTTGGAAGGAAAGAGTGCGTTGGGGAAAAAATGTTCGTGAATGCCCAATAAAAGTCTAGCCTTATTAGTGTCGGTTTGTATAAAAATGAGGGATCTTTGCTCCAAATTAGTATCGTTTCGACAAAAAAAAAAAAAAAAACACATTTTTGTATACTATCTGAGTCTAGTTTCCAAGTACATAGTATTAGGTTTTGTATACGAAGTTAATGTGCACAAAACACTTTCGCAGAATGTTTGTTTAGGTAATCTCGACAGGGATACAAGTTCTGGTGCGTACGTTGACCAACACAACTACCAGTTAGCTCTTACTCTATGGGGCAAAAAAGAAAAAATCTCTTCGAAAACCACCCTATGTTTTGTAAACCCAATGCAATAAGTACAATTGTTTGTTTCAACATTAAGAACTACTCAACATTATTAACACATAAGACTTGTACAATTAGAGGGACCATAGTTTATGCCAACCCTCTATCAAAGTTTGCCTTAATTTTGCAACCAATGACTGATTCCCTCCGCAGCAAGGCGGCAAAGGTTTTCTCTTTCCAGGGGGGATGTCTATTACGTAACGTCATAAAACAACCAAAAAAATACTCAGCCAAAACTAAACCAAACGAGAAAGAAACTATTTTCTTCTTCAGTTTGGAGGGTTTGTTGTGGAGCGCCCAATAAGCCTCATTGCTTCGAGAAGGGTATTCCTAAATCTTCCCAAATTGATCGTCACATTCTGCTGGTCCAAATAATAAACCCTCGATTTCCTGTAACCCTGTGCTTTGATAGACTCGGGATCTTTAAGCACGGGATGATCCGGTCCATACAAATCATAAAGTGTGCTCTCTTGAGGCTCAATCTTGTATTCCAAGTAATGCAACCCCATTCCCGTTGCCGGTCCGCCGTAGTATGCATTTCCAACCCAGTCGAGTTCGAGTGGAAGCACCTGAATCATGACTGCCCCGTTAGGCAAGAAAATTTCATTTGTCAGCCCGGCACCATGCACTCCAACCATAACACTGCTGGAACCGATGACCCGAGAAAATTCATCCAAATTTGACATCAGATCATTGGTAGGAATGAACACGCGAAAGCCCAACTCCTCCATCATCCTCACCACGGCTTCTTGATTCGCTATAGTTCTTGTTCTCGTGCGAGACACTATTAGCAATTGTGGCTTTTCTGTCCCCGGCATCTGGGACACATCCCTCGGCTTCAAATTAAACGATTTTCTAAGCAGATCCCTGAATTCGACCATGGAATAAGCTCCTGGGGTGTCGCTGGTGTTGATGGCCAAATTGTCATGATACTTGAGCCCAACAATGGCCCCTGGAAAACAATGAATGGTCCCCTTACTAGTTTCGGCTGCATTTATGAACTCGAAATGCGACAGCTTGGTTAAAACCTTCCTGAATTTGTTGAGCACCCAAAGCTGGTAATCCGTGATCATGAACTTCACCTTGGATCTGAAATGCCGGCTCGTGATGAAGACGGGAATGATAATGTCGTTGAATTCGTGGAATATGTTCCCAGCAAATCCGCCCGAGGAGAAAACCAAGGCCGGCACCTTGTGTTTGAAATCACAAGGTGGTGGGCGGATGTTACCGTGCTGAATCTCGACGGGCTTGACCATTTTCATTGCCACTCCATCGTTTTTAAGTGGGTACGGCTGAGCCGTGTACTTTTCCAATTCCTCCTGATCGGAGTATATGTAAATCCTGGAAGCATTCGTGTCGAACCTCACTTCTTTGCTAGAAATATAAATATCCGAGTTCAACTCGGACAGGTGAGCAAATCCAGTTTCTTCGAATCGAGTCCGTTGCTCTCCTGCTCCAAAGAATCAAATTCTTGACTCCATAAGACTTTTGGCGAAAATTGATTTGATTTCTCGGAGATGTTAAACAAATATAATTGGTATCTCTACACATATACATAATCTTGTGGAGTAATTTTTCCGCTTTCAAGAACAACAAATTCGTATGATGGCACCATAAAGCTCCACAACTCGTTAATTCATGAGTAGGGGGGGGAGAAAAAGGAAAAAAAAAAAAAGAAAGGAAAGGGAAAGCATCTTTCTTATCTTACAATCAAAGGGAGAGAGATATATTATATTAATGAAAGTGCTAAAGATCGAAACTCAGACTGGCTAGTAGAACATAACAAACCTGTTAATAGCCTTCTGAGCATAATCTTGAGCGGGTCTTTCTTGGGTACGACATCTTTGACGGCGACCTTTCTGCCTGTGCCAAGATGGTTATTCGAATTTGTGAACTTCGCGTCGAGATTGCTGTCTGAATTTGAGAACTTTGCCTTCCCTACAGCGTATTAAAGATCATCGATGAACATCCAGGAATATGCATGGAATCGCCGTCCAAATTTTTTTCACATAAAGGCTAAGTAAGAAAACAAAATCTATTATGTTTTTCCTAGCTAGACAAAAAAGAAAAAGAACAAGAGAAAACAATCGGATGGTGGATAGAAGAGCTAGATTACATTCATCAATCTGGCAAAATATTGCAGAGTAGGCCAAAGCGTGAAAGATGAGCAAGGAGATTAAGAAAGTTGGGCTGCAAACCAGTCGTTTGGATTCCTCCACCATCGATCCTCTTTACTCCACCAGACTACAATTGTTGTTGTATTCAAGTCCCTGTCTTGACTTCAACGTATGAGTAAGAAGCACTCAATTCTCATCCAGCAACCTCTTCTTCTCTTCTAAGTCTAAGACAACATGGTTTAAACGTTCCTCTCTTCTTGTTTGTTAGTAATATATATTACTTCATGTAATTGCTTTACCTTTCTGTCTTCTTCCTTGTCCTGCTTCTAGAATTTGCAACTAAGGTTCATGCATACAAACACTGACCTAGAAATTTTTTTGGGCAGCAGCCGCGGTTTAACCTTTGCGACCTACAAATTTTTGCTTTTCATTATTTAAGAAGGTAGCTTTCAACTTTCCTATATATATATATACACATACAATTTCTTTGTCAATTGATCAAAAATATAATAATATTTAGGGAAAGGCAGTAGGGCATCTCTTACGTCAAAGATCTGATTTTGAGAAATATAAAACTCGGGCCGTTCTTTGTCAAAGACAAAGACGATTCAATTTTTTTTTTTTTTTCCCTTTCTTGAAGGAAGGAAATA